GGCCTCCCCAGAGGTCCTGCAGCCGCCGGCCACGGGCGCCAGGCCCAGGCCTGCTTGGCTGCCCACAGCCCTCCCTCCGCCCCTGCGAGGGAGCAGGCCGCGTCCAGCTGCCCCACTTTCCTCGAGGACGGAGCCCGGGCCTGGCCAGCAGCCGCGTCTCCGGGACCCCCAGGGCGGGCGGCCCCTCCCTGTGGCCGGGTGTGGGCCGGGCCCTTGAGGGTGCGTGACGGGCAGGGCAGGGCGGTGGACGCAGCTGGGAGCCCTCCTGGTTCCGGGGCCACCCAGACCCTCCCGCCGCCCCTCCCCCCACACCGGGCCCAAGCTGACCGGTCCGTGTGTCCTGCTACTAACCCCAGTCTGTGTCCGTGTCAGTCCTGTGAAATAAACAAACCCGAACACGACGAGGACAGGCGCTGGGGTCTGTCACGCCACCGGCCGATGAGCCTCCTCTGGCCCGGACCTGGCAGTGCCCGGCAGGGCGGCTGCTAATGCCGGTGGCCTGGGGCACTGGCTGGCCCCTCCCTGAGCTGCCTGGGTGGCCCGGCCTTGACCCCAGCGGAGGCCTCAGCAGCACGGGTGGCCCAGACCTGCGCCGGCGGCTCCCAGGACCGTCCCTGGGCCCTGGGGGAGCTGAGCCCGTGGGCTCCTGTGCTGGCCCTGGAGCAGCCGCGTCGCCCCGCTGGGGGGGCAGGGGGCGGGGCGACGCGGCTGCTCGCCAGGAGGGTGGGTCACCTGGTGAGCAAGGGGCAAGGCGCTGGGCACTGGGCTGGACGCACCCCGACACCGTTCCCAGACAGGGCTGCCGAGGAGGGCCGGCAGGGGAGGGGGAGCAGGTGAGGACCCGAGGGCCAGGGCCGGACCCCGCTGCCTCTGGGGGCGGGGCGGGCAGTGGGCTCACAGCCTTGAGTTTAGTGGGGGACAGCCTGGGCTGGGGCGCAGCCCCGGGTGAGGAGCGAAGGACCTGAGTGCCCACGTGGGGTTGCGGCCACCACTCAAGGCGCCTTTAATCCCCACACCCCAAGTGCCCTCCTTTGAGGAATCTCGGGGAGGTGGCGCGGGGGCGCCTCTGGGGTCCCCTTGTGGGCGGGGTCCCTCTGGGGGGCCACCCCAGCGCCTCTTTAGCCTCCGCATCCCTGCCACAGCTGGGCCGGGGGGCAGAGGGAGGTCAGAGGTCGCCTGCAGCGAAGCTCCTTCCCCCAGCCTGGGCTCCCACGGGCGGGTTTGAGGGCAAGCCCCGGGGGCGCCTGGAGGGGGGGGGCCTTCCCGAACGAGGGCCCTGGCCCTGCTCAGGGGCTCAGCCCCGTCTCGGTGGGGGGCAGCCCCCAGAGGTCCCCCGGCGCAGGGCAGGAAGGACACAGCGGCCGGCCAGTGTCAGTCGTGACGCTGGAGTCAGTTCTGATGCATTAAAAGGCGAATTGTCAGCACTGACCAGGTTGGCTGCGCTTTTGTAAAGATTTAAGCGCACAAGAACTGGGTGCAGGCCAGACATGGGGGGCAGCGAGAGGGTTCCCCAGAGATAGCGGGGAGCAGGACAGGGGGAGCA